ACTATTATTGCTTGGTGTACTCCAGACTAGTGCGTAATAAGTTTCCAACCCTTTTACGCCCTACAATACCCAGTCAGAAATGGTATAACCAGAGGACGCCCAAGTTTGACACTAAGTTGTCTGTTTCCAAACCATAGACGACTACGTCGACGTCTATGTATGATCCGAAAATAGGCCTAACTTTTGACGTCTTCTAACAAGGGAACCCCGCCAAGTGTAAATTCCCGATTTTCATTCTACTTTGGGAAATTGTTGGTCTAAATATGTCATCGAAGGACACATCAAAGATTTTTGCTTAAATTCATATTTAGGGGTCATTTTGGGTATTTGTTCAAAAAGCTGATATTTCAATTATTTTTTAAAACTTTCAAGAATGCTTCCTAAGGGGTAACTCGTCAAATTGCGGCCCTTTGGGCGAAAATTTCGTCCGTTTTGCTCTATCTGAAGCCGTTTAGGCGCTACCGCCACGTTTAGGAGGGGAAGTATACAAGGAATCACTAGGGCTTAAGAGCAGCGGTTGTAAAAAGCAGTACCACAAAAAATGTTATAAAACAAAAGTTAAAGATCTTACATTTTTCTACAACTTTTATTTTATAACATTTTTTGTGGTACTGCTTTTTACAACCGCTGCTCTTAAGCCCTAGTGATTCCTGTATACTTCCCCCTCCTAAACGTGGCGGTAGCGCCTAAACGGCTTCAGATAGAGCAAAACGGACGAAATTTTCGCCCAAAGGGCCACAATTTGACGAGTTACCCCTTAGGAAGCATTCTTGAAAGTTTTAAAAAATAATTGAAAAATCAGCTTTTTGAACAAATACCCAAAATGACCCCTAAATATGAATTTAAGCAAAAATCTTTGATGTGTCCTTCGATGACATATTTAGACCAACAATTTCCCAAAGTAGAATGAAAATCGGGAATTTACACTTGGCGGGGTTCCCTTGTAAGAAGGAGCATTTCTGCGACTGGGTACAAATTTGTTTGAAAGCTGTTTAAGCAATAGCAAAAGCATCTAAATTGCTCGCGATTCCGAAGCAATTCGTTTATTGCAATAATTACAAAGAAATGCTCCGCTAGGTTTTAACTGCGCACGAGCGCATACTCACACTCTCACACATGCACACCACTTCCTCGACCACTCCATATCATGCCCGCCCCATAGGTTCGCCGTTTACAGTTTGAGGTCATGCGCAACAGAAAACTTTCCATGAATCCATCAACGTCCTCGTGCGAAAGGGTGGTGGATGCGCGGGTGATGGTTACCTCCCTGCGCTCCGTGCGCTACATAGGCTGCAGCAGGTGGGGCGGGACTGACGGTCGGCCTCTCCTGCGCATATAGTGCGGAAAGTGGCCATCCCCCGGCGAAATATCTTCTGAGAGGGATGACACCGCGTCGGATTTATGAGGGTGCCAGATCAAGCGCGTCGTTTCACTGTTGTTGAGAGGAACGACGAAGGGAAACAAACAAGGAGAAAAGGGAGGGGGTGGGTGGGGTAGTAAACAAATGAAACAAGAAGAGAGAAAAGAAAATCACCTATTATGTCATGGATGACATTTTGCCGCAGAAAGAAATCTGAATACACGCGATGACGGGAGGGCCGGTCGATATCCACGATGGCGGGCGTTTGTTTTCTCACGAAGAGCAGGCAGGGAGGCGAGGATTGCACGACGAGGCGGTAATCTATTGCATCGGCGTTGTAGTCAACCTAATCGGGTGGGGTCCGAACGACAACACGGTGGTCGCATGACCGCTCCCCCCGGGGCTGGGCTGGGGGAGGGCCGGGTTGGGGCCACGGGAGGGCTGGCCGACACCCGCGTCCGCCAGCCAGCAGTCCAGTCAGTCGATGGAGCTCCATCGCAATGCTTTGTATGAATCCGCGCGGTGCGTGCGAAAGTGTAGACACACGGTGCGCCGTCTACTGCGAAGGGGAGCAGAGAAGAGGAGAAGTAGTCGGCCTTGACCGACCCGCACGCGCGCAGAAATAAAGGGCGAACAAAAAACCGCTGACATTTCCTCTGGTGGTGACCCGGTGATTCGACATCACGCGGTCTGGTCGATAGGTCATTACATCAGCGGGTCGCGGGAGCAACGCGCGCGACGACAGCGCCGACAGCAAACGTGCAGACGTGCCGCCGGATAATAATAGCCATGTCCTGTTCGGAGTGCGCGCCGTGCGCGGGGGCGGCGGGTTCCCCCGGGCCGCTGCCTGCCTCCAGGGTGCTAACGCCGGCCTGGCCGTGTGTCCGGCAGATCCACGACACGGCCTTCGGCGGCTCCAGCTCCGACGAGGACGACATCCCGTTCCCGTTCGGCCACGAGAGCGCGGCGGCCAACGCCCTGCTGTACGTCGGCCTCGGGACCGTGGCCGTCGGCATGGTCATCGCCTTCGTGGGCACGGGCGAGAAGGGCTTCAAGACGCTCGAGCTGCGCCTCATCGGTCCCACGCTCATCGCCGGCGGCGTCCTCTGCTGCCTGCTCAGGGTCATGCTGTGCGTCTGCCCGTCCAAGTAAGTACCGTGCGGCGCGGGGACTGTGGGCCGAGGGGTCCTTTACTATAGTTACAAGCGTTCACCAATTTTTCTCAATTTTTTCTGACTTCTCTGATTTTTTTTTTAATTTTCTGAATTTCTTGATTTGCCCTTTTTGGGGGGGATGGGGGGGGGGTGTAAACTGATTTTTTTGAGAGTGAAGGGCCCCTCGCTGTGGACACACATGTGACGGCAGTTTCTCCCCCTGGCGCAGGTGTCTGCTGAAGCGTTTCCGGCAGCGTAGCCGACACAAGAAGCAGATCATGGCCCTGGAGGCGGCGGGCCGCATCGCCATGGGGCCCATGGGCCGCAACATACCGCCCCGCCACGGCCACCACGGCATGCGGGGGACGGGCCTCTCCAGGTCGGGCTCCAGGGCGGGCTCCAAGTCGGGCTCCAGGCCCGGCTCCAGGCCCCCATCAAGGGTGTCCAGGGCGCCGTCTGAGCTCATACGGAGCCCATCCGATCCTAACGACCCCACGGTGAGTGCCGTAGGAAGAAGCCTTTAAGTTTCTTGGAACAGTCGCTCTTTCCGAAGAAGAGTAGTTGTAAAGTCTTGAATGTTTCATGAAAAGGGATAGTTTCTTCTTCTTCTTCTTCTTCTTCTTCTTCTTCTTCTTCTTCTTCTTCTTCTTCTTCTTCTTCTTCTTCTTCTTCTTCTTCTTCTTCTTCTTCT